GCACCAGCAAAAGCTCTGCCTCCCCTGGGCCCTCTCTTCCCTATGAGAGAGGTCTTCCACCAACCCCACCCTTCTTCCACCTTCAGCTTTGGCAGCTGCCTGTGCCTGGCCTGCCCACTTGCCTTCACCACTCACCTTTGTAACTGAGGCCCGACACATATCTTGGCACTCCCACTGTAAGCTGGCACCCACCCCACACCTGGAGTCTACCTGGCCATGGAGGCAGGGAGAGGCCAGGTCCCCTCTGCCCGACACTGGGCACAGCTTTTCCCTGGGAATGTCCCCAAGGAGCTCTCTTCATGTGTGTGTCAGCCTGTGGCCTGGCAGAGGAACTGGGACAAGGGCTGCTGGGGCAGGGCTGAAGTAGCTCAGCTGGGAGAGCGTTAGACTGAAGATCTAAAGGTCCCTGGTTCAACCCCGGGCTTCAGCAACGATTGTCTCCTGTAGATTTTTGCAGAGACTGCCTGCCTGCCTTCTTCCAGCCTGCCGTGGCCCAACTTGCTCCTTCACCTCTTGCCAGAGCACTGCCCGTGCACTGTAGCTGCAGATCTGCAGGTTAGAATGAGCCTTCCTCTTGCACTGCAAGCCCCCAGCCTTCCCCTGGACAGGACTCTCCATTCAGTGCTTCTTTGGGGTGGTCTCCAGCCATCCCTCCTTCCCTGCTCCACAGCACTTGGCATCTCTCCTTTGAGGGGGTCTCTGCAAAGACCCTGTCTCTCTCCTCTTTGCCATTCTCGATGGTGCACAGACTGTTCCCCTTGTCATAGACACATCACAGGAGAAGAGCGTCTCTCCTACTAGCAGGCATCAAGGGGATGTAGCTCAGTGGAAGAGCGCCCGCTTCGCATGTGGGAGGTCCTGGGTTCAATCCCTGGCATCTCCAGGGGTGGTGCTTTTGCCCTGACTGCCCAGCCTCAGGCAGGTGTGGGCTGGAGCTTGGGCACTGCTCCTCTCCAGGCCCTGTGGGCCTGCCCTGCCCACCAAGGGCTTGGCTGTGAGCTGGGCAGGGCTGTGGGACTCTCAGCTGGAGTCTTCCTTCCACCATCGCCACTGGCTTGAGCAGAGCCTCAGCTCAGGGAACCTGGATCTGCTGAGGTCAGGCACAGCCCTGCAGAGGTGGGACTGGTGGGGCCGGTGCCCACCTCTTGCTCCTGGGGTGTGTGGTGACTCCGTCCACCCTGTGCTGGTAGGATCAGGGAGTCACAGGTCTGTCCACAGCCGTGCACAGGCAGTGAGGGCCAGGAGATGGTGCCTCGGCTGCTCCTCTGGCAATAACCCCCACAACCAAAATGGGGCATGAGACATGGATTCTCACTGCAGGGTGCCCAGCACCCTGGTGAGCCAAAACTCAAAGAAATAAGGCTGTTCTCCTATGGGCTTTAAACAGCCAAGCTCTGCCCAGCATGGGGGTTGCAGTGCTGAGACTTGGGGGTCTCACTGTGACCCCCCCTCAGGCAGGTCCTCGGGAGCTGCAGGAACAACCACAGATTTGGGGTACAGCAACAATCTTGCTTTGCTGCAGAGAATGGACCCAGCCTGCAATGCCAGACTGTTCAGGTCCCCAGATGCCATGAAACAGGCTCTTCCTGCTCAGGCGTGCTGCCCCCCTCAAGCACACACAGGCCTGTGGCTCATCTCCCCAAGGAGGAAGAGGAAAATGTCTGCCAGGTGCCAGAGTAAGGGAGAAATATTACCCCTGTGGGAGGGCAGAGCTGGCAGTGAGGTGGCACAGGACAGGCACTGGCCTCTTCTCCCCAGTCCCCACTTGGAGCACCTTGAGTCTGCACGTCAGTGTCCATACTGTCCATAGCCCCACCATCCTGTGTTCAGAAGATAACACTCCCCCCTTCTTTACTTCACTTTTATACCTTACTTCTCTGAGATGCAGGGCTGGAGCTTGCCCCCATGGGAGTTTTCCAGGGGATGGAGGCTGTGCTTGCAGTGCCCATGTATGTCACCCATCACCGTGGGGGTCTCACCTTGGGAACGCTGCTCTCCCATGGGGTCTGCCAGCAGGAAGTCTCTGGGGTATGGGGCAGAGGAATCTGTGAGTCTTGGCTTCTCCCAGATCCCCCCAGGATCACCACAGGGGTGGAGGAGCTCCCAGCAGGGAATGGGGCAATGCTGAAGTGGGAGAGGGTGCTGGTGACAGCCACCTCCTCCCCGCTTCTCCTCTAGGGCCAGATCCTGCTGCTTGCAGCAGTACTGAGCTCCACCAACTCCCCAAAGGGAACCCTGCCACAGACAGCCAATGCACCTTCCAACCCGCAGCAGAGGAGCCTTTTGGGGAAGTGCCAGAGGGGTGTGGAGACCCACCAGCAGGAGCAGGGAGGGAAGTTTGGGCACCAGGTCCTGCCCAGGTGTCAAACCCTTCTCCCCGCCTGGTTCCTGCATAAGAGGTTTCTCTGCCCATGGGCACTGGGGCAGGTGAAAGCCACAGCCAAGGGAGAGGAACCCTGGCTCAGCTCCCAGCAGTGCCTCTTTTAGGGGAGGGACACAAAATCTCCTCTGCCATGGAAATGTGCCCACGTGAGCATCCTCCCAGATGAGCCCTTCTCCAGGCCAGAGGCTGGACCATGGCTTCTGGCTGCAGCACACATCTCCTGGGGATCTTTTCTTCATCCCCCCAGCCCTCCAACAGTGCTGGGGGAAAGGTGCCCCCATCACCGTTGCTTCCCTCTCTTCTGTGCCTGCACACAAGTACTGCCCTGACACAAATCCAAACTGACATCCCTGGTGAGGCAGCAGGAGGGCAGGGGGCTGGAGGAGAGCAGGAGGAGGGGGTTCAAGGGCTGCCGTGGGGCCTTACAGCCTCTGCTCAGAAAGAAGGCAGCTCAGTGCCTTGACAAGAGTGCTCAGGGTCTGCGAGGGCCCAAGGCAGCAGGAGCAGCCCATGGAGACTGGGGTCCTGGCAGAGCATGAGGAGAGGGAATCCCAGCCCCGTGTGTCCCAGAAAGCAGCTCTGCACCTTGTGCTGGGGCAGTGGGGAGCAGAGCTGCCTCCTAACCATGGTGGGAGGTAATCCATGGGCCATGTTCCCCCCTGGGGCTGGCTGGGATGTTCAGGGCACTGTGGCCACCTCAGGGCTCACTTCTGTGGGGCCACAGCCCAGGGCTTACCCTGACACGGCAGCTCTGTCATGGCCTCTGCACTGTGGGACCAGCATGGCCCAGGCCCTGCCTGGGGCAAAGAGCAGCTGGGAAACCCTAGGGCGAGGAAATGGGTGCTCAAACTGAGGTGCATCACGGAACCTATCAGAGAGCCATTTTGACTAGAAACTGCCTGTGGCCAGTAGGATGGAAATGTCTCTGTCAGCAGGATTATTCCCCAGGGACCATGGGCTCTCACTGCTTCACAGCCTGACCCCAAGCCTGCTGTCCCTGAGACATGCCCATTTCCCCACTTCCATGACTTTGTTCTCTGCTCCTCCTGACCAGCCTCAGGAAGATGCCCTGACACTTGGGCAGGCAAGCACCAGCTCCGGGTCAAAGCTGAACACAGCTGTTCTATTATGAACAAAGATGATGCACAGCATAAAAATGGGAATAAAAATAGAGGAAACTCCAGGCGCTTTCTGTTGCCCGTGGGACAAGGGAGATGGTTCCCTGGTGCTCGTGGCTCTCCCAGCTCCACAGACCTCTTCTCCCTCCTGGCTGCACCCAGCTGCACAGCAGGGATGGGCTCTCATGGCCTTGGGCTCGGGGACTGTTGTGCACAGAGCTCCGGTGTCACAGCCATTGTGTCCTCAGGGGGATGTGCCAGAGACACCTCTTCAGCATCATCATAGCCCATGCTCCCCAGGGACAGGGGCCACGTGTCTCCTTCAGCTCCAGGCACCCCAGCACTTGTCCAGGAGCGCAGGCTGGCCCCTGCAAGCAGCAAGGCAGGACAATGCAGTTCGGCCCATGGGGTCTGTACAGCATCTTCCTCCCTGCTCCTCACCACATTCAGCTCCTTCTCCTACCCCTAGTCCCTCCAAGGAAAACGCCTGGGACAGGTTCCCCCTTCCCAGGAGGCTGGGGTCTCAGGACAGCAGTGACTTGGGTGGCCCCAGGGTTGGAACCCCAGGAACCAGCAGTGCTAAATTTCCCTCTCACCTCCGGGTGCATCCCTGGGCTCTGCTCCCTCCTCTGGCTCCCTGGGCATTTCCCTCTCTCCCTGCCCAGGGGCAACATCCTCCGTGGGATCAGAAACCTCCCTGGCATCATCATAACCATCTGCTGGGTCACCTCCAGGTGGGACAAGAACATCTGAAAAGAGAGGGGAGCTGGTGACAGTGAGAAGGTACATCCTGCAGAGCAGAGCGAAGATGTGCAGGGACACAGGGCTGAGACACGGGTATTGGCAGCACCACAGGAGACCCCCATGTCCTCCCCATCTCCAGCGGTGACACTGAGTGACACCTCTGTCCATCACATGTCTTCAGGGAGATCAACTCCTTCTTGCCTCTGTTACCTGCTGCTGATCCCAGACCATCCTCCTCCTCGCTGACCCCAGGGTAGGACTGCAGCTGGGTCAGGGACTCCTCTGAATAGGAGCCTGGAGAGATGCACAGTGGGTGTTATGGAGCAAGCCCCACTGACCTGGCTCGTGGTCAGTGCTGCTGGGGAAGGGGGACCCACAGAGCTGGGGCTGCGTGGGGAGGAGGGCTGGGAAATCACCCTGCCTCCCTGGGGCAAACCCTGTCTCAAAGGTGCTCCCAGAGCTGCCCTAGCACAGCCCCTTCCCTCACTCCGCGGGTGTCCTTGGGGTGCAGGGGCAGGAAGAGAGGGGCTGTCCAGCTGGGACAGGCAAAGCTGTTTGTTTGGGAGAAAGCTCCCGTTCCAGGCCCAGGACCTGGATGGTCTCCCCACAGACCATGTGGCCCCAGGGGGGCCGTGGGCTGGGGGGCTTCAGGGAATCAGCCCAGGGTTGGGGCCAGGGGAAAGGGTCCTGCAGATTTGCCTCCAGGGAGGACCCACCCCCACCTGAGCGACCAAACCTCGCCTGCTTCTCCCACGCTGGGCTGTAACCAATCTCCTCGTACAGGGCCTCAGGGAAGGGCTCCTGAGCACTCCTGGAGCCTGGGGACAGAGGTAGGGCTGGCAGAGGGACAGGCAGAGGGGCAATGGGATCACACTGCGCTGCCCCAAACCTGTTTCTTGGGCCAGCCCAGGACTGGCCCGATGGCACAGCCCCACTGCACTGTCCAGGCACAGCTGCCACATCCCCAGTGAGGGCAACATCACTGTGGAGATTATCTGGGGCAGTGTCACCCTCGCATCATCCTTTCGGAGACAATGCTCATGCCCCTCTGGCCCCAGGGTCATGCACCCCTTGTCTGACCCTGGAGCAGCTCCCATGTTTCTTCCACTTGGAGCTTTCCCCTAGCTGCCCCATGGGTCTAGAGTATTCAGGGGGTGGGCAGGGCTGGGCAGAGGGGACAGCCTGGAGGCCTGACACCACGGGGATGGACCCTTCTGCCCTGCACTCCTCCCATCATCTTCCTTGTCCCAGAGTCCCCCCCCAGCACTACCCAGAGCATTGTCAGCCTTGGCCATCTCCCTTCTGCTCACATTTCCCCCAGCCCCGCTCTTCCATTTCTTCCCTTGCCCCATCGCTACCTCCCCCCGCCTCTGGGCTCTCTCCACCCCTTGCTGCTGGTGCCCCACAGCCAAGCACTCAATGGGGTGGTGCATGGGACAGGTGGCAGCACACAGTCTCACCCCCCAGCTCTGCCTGTGCCCCTCACTGACACCCCGCAGCCCTTCCAGGAGGTATTTCCCCCTGGGACTGCTGTGGAAAGACCAACCTCTGCACCCAGCCCTGGTGCTTAGTGCTTGCCCAGCCAGGAGGGCCAGGAGCAGGCAGAGAAGGGCCCCCAGGATGATGCAGATGATGACGGGCACTGAGACTCTCCCGCTGCCACTCAGACGGCCCTGGGGGGAATCTGTGTGGGCAAGAATATGGAAAGGCCAGCAGCAGGCCTGGGTGAGGGGGAAAAAGCACCATTCCTGACCCCCATCACACAAGGCAGCAGGGGATGGAGGGCCCCAGGGATGAGCGATGGAGAAGCTGCTACCCTGATGAGTAAATGACAACCTTCCCTAGCCCCCTCACCACCAGACCAGTGCCTTCTCCTGGGAGTTTCACACCTCAGCAAGGAGCCCCTTCCACCCAGCTGTGGGTCACAGTCTGGCCCTGGGGATACCCAGATCCGGGGGGAAGACAAGTTACCTGCTCGGGGTGGGGATGCTGCTGTCCTGGGTGTAGCTGCAGAGGAGAAAAAGGAGAGCTGGGCTGAGAGGGTGGGTATGTGGGTACCGGGGAGCCTCCTCCCCAACACACCGTGTGTGTGTCTGTGGATGTCCCTGACACATCCCACCCAAATTGCCTCTCCTATAGTGCTAGAAAGAGAGGCCGGGAAAGGGCTCAGTGCCTCTGCTCCGGGTGGCAGGCAGGATGGCACAGATAGCCCAGGGGATAACCCTGGGGCTGCAGGGCCCCACGGGCAATGGCCAGAACACATCCAGTTCCACCAAGGCTGCTCCCCACTTGGCACCAGGCTCCTGCACTCCACAGGAATGTTCTTGCTCTTGGGAGGTCAGGGGCCATGCCAGGACCAAGGGGGCAAAAGGCCTTCCCCCTGAGCAAGGGGTCCCAGCCCTGCCACTCACCTGAGCAGTTCACACCAGCATCTTCCTTGTGCCGGCAAGCACCGCCATCCCCAGGCCGGGCCCAGCAGTCCTGCAGAGACAGCTCTGTCCCACGGCACTCCACCTGCTCCAGCCAGATGGGGCCCGTCCCCATCCCAAACGCAGCCTCATGCAGGGCAGACACCGCGGGGCCACAGCCCAGCTGCCTGCACGCCACCTCAGCATCCCGCATGTCCCAGGAGTCGTCGCACACCGTCCCCCAAGAGCCACGGTGCCAGACCTCCACTCTGCCCGAGCACCTGTCCTCACCTCCCACGGCACGAATCTTCTCCCTGTCTGGAGAAGGCAAAGACCTCCCATGGCACGGAGACAGCAGGCAGAGCCCTGCCAGACAAGAAGCATCCACAGACGAGCAGCTCCCTACCTGTGCAGCTCGTGGAGTTGGGGCACGGGGCCAGCGGGATCGAGGGCATTTCTGGGCGTCTCCCTGAAGAAGGAAACACTGTGGTGAAAGGGCTGGTTTGGGAGATCGTGCAGAAGAGAGCAGGGCTGAGCTCTGCTTGTGCCTCCCTCTGCCATCTTGATAACAGCAGCAACTGAACCCTGGTCATTGAGGGGACAAGCACAGGACTGTGGGGGGACCCCGACTGCTCAGCCCCAAAAGGTCCCTGTTTAACAGAGCAGCAGGAGCGTGTCTATGGAGGGGAGGCTCTTCTGAACCCTGTCTGGTCTCTTCTGAGACCTCACCTGGAGATGCCTCTGCCTCCCCCAGGCGCTGCTGGCAACCTGGGTGGCAACTGCTGCTGGACGTGTGTGGCTGTGATCGCTTTTCTGCCACCAGCAGCAGAAGGGACTGACATGGAAAGGAAAAGCCCCTCCAAGCTCTTTTTCCGCATTTGGCTGTGCTCAACAGGGAGCAGGAGCTAGAGTGACACTGGGGTGCCCAGGTGGCTCAGAGTTACCATTGCAGGTGATGTGGGCCTCCTCTTCTGGGTCTTCACATGACTGTGGGTTCCAGGGAGCAGAGGGACACTGCCAGAAGGAGCTGGTTTTCTCCCCACACCGCACCTTATCCAGCCACGTAGGGCCAGACATATTGCCAGAAGGCAGCTGTGTTTCCAGGGATCCTCCGTTCCCGCAGCCCAGCTCCTTGCATGCCAGTGACACCGTGTCGAGAGTCATCAAGTTGGAGCAAATGCTGCCCCACGTTCCGTTGTAGAAAACCTGCAGGCGCCCGGAGCAGCCATCACTGTTCTCCAGCCTCAGGGCCATGAACTCTGGGAAGAAAAGTACCAAGAGGGAACAGGCTGGTCTGAGGCTGTGGGAGCCAGGACACCTCTGCACCCCCCAGGCCCACAGCTGGGTAGGGCCATGGCCAGTACATCCCCCTTGCACCCAAAGGTAGAGAGAAGTCCCTGATGGACAGACACCCCTGCCCTTCCTGCAAACCCTCAGGGATGGCTGAGCTCCCCAGGGACCCTCAGTGGGACTGAGGGTACCCGTGCATGGGTGTCCACAGGACATGCTCGGGCAGGAGCTCAGAGGCAGCCAGGGACAGCCTTGGCCATGCCCGTCTCTCCTTGTGTCCTGGCCTCTGCAAGAGCCAGGTTCCCTCTACAGCTCCCGCCACAGACCTGAGCAGATGACTCCCGCATCCTCTTTGTGCCCGCAGTCGTGCTGCCCCCAGGGCCTGGCAGGGCAGTCCCAGAGAGCAGCTTCGGCCCCAGAGCAGTTCACGCCATCCAGCCAGATCTGCCCGGAGCCTTCCCCAGACTGAGCGGAGCCGGCTGCCTCCACTGCCCCTCCACAGCCCAGCTGGTGACAAACGACGGTGGCATCAGACAGGTCCCAGCCATCGTCACAGACAGTCCCCCAGATGCCCTGGTAGTAGATCTCCACTCTCCCAGCACAGCGCCCGGTCCCATTCACCAGCCGGACCCTCCGGCTCCCTGTAGTGGGTAGAAACCCCAGTTGCTGTCAGGGGCTGGCTGCCCACCCACCCCATCACCTGGGGTGCCCGTGCAGCGCCGCTCACCCCAGCAAATGACTCCCACATCCTCTGCTACCCCTGCCGCCGGTGCACTCTCGAGCAGGGAGGTGTTGCAGAAGGCCAGGCTGGCCTCGTGCCCTGCACACCAGACGCCTTGCAGCCCCACGGGACCCGTCCCTCGCTCAGGCTTTGGGGGGTTGTAGGCTGTCCCTGCCTCTCCACACCGCAGCTGCCGGCACACCACACTGGCCTCCTGCACGTCCCACTGGTCATCCAGGACTCTGCCCCACGTCCCATGCTGGAAGATCTCCACTCGTCCGTCGCACCGGCTCTCTCCACCCACCAGCCGCAGGGATGCAAAGCTGGCTGAGCCTGGGGAGAGCAGAGATGCCACAGCCATTGGTGGCACCAGGGAGCATGGCATCCTTCAGGGAGCAGGGCGAGGGGGGATTTTCCGACCAAACACAACAAGATTGAGCCTTTTGCTGATGAGAAGCGAGGGCAAAATCCTCTCTGCAGCTCACACCCAGGTCTGCTGCTGCTGGGGGCACCCAGGCACCTGCTTCCTGGGTGGTGGGATGAGGCTCTGCAGAGCTCTCTCTGGGGATGGGATGCAGTTGTCTGCAGCCAGAGGGATGGACCACAGCCCTGCTCTGGGCTTTTCCCACAGTAGGAGAACGGAGGAGCCCAGGCCTGGTGGTGGTGATGGGGCCTATGCCACTGCCCTGGGGGCAGATGCCTGCCTCCATTCAGCCCTCAGCTCTCCCAAAGTATAGCGGTCACTCTAAGCAGGCAAAGCCCTCCAGATGGCTCCTGGGGAAGCCAGGGTTTCTCCAGGGAGAAATTCAGCCTGGTACTGTCGTGGGACCCCTGGTTTGTGTGGCCACATCACACACAAAGGGCAAATGGAGTTAATGCAGCATTTTTCCATCACTCACCTGAGCAAACGACAACAGCGTTGTTCCCGTGGGAGCATGGTGAGGCTCCCAGGGTGATCACTGGGCACTGTCCCAGATGGGCTTCTGTCCCGTCACAGTGGAATGAGTCTCTCCAGATGGGGCCAGTCTCTCTCCCAAAATGCTCTCCTCCAGGAATGGACTCAGCAAACCCACAGTTGAGTTGACGACAGAGAACGTGGGCATCCGAGAGATCCCAGCGGGAGGCACAGAGGCTCCCCCAGGTCCCCGACACCTGGACCTCTACCCTCCCTGCACACGCTGTGCTGCCGTTCACCAGCCTGAATCCTGTGTATGCTGGGGACAGAGGAGGAGGAGAGAGGGTGGATTGGTGCTCGTGTACCCTCAGCAGCCGGCGGAGAGGCCAGAGGGACAGCATGCCTTCTCCTTCTGCACTATTTTCATGCTGCAGACAATCCCATCATCCCTCCTGTCCTCACACCTGGCCCAGCACGGTCCTTGCTCTGTTCCCCAACCCCTGGCACAGCCCTGGTGTTCAACACCTCCCTGAGTCCTTACGTGTGCAGGTGACAACAGCGCTGTTCGCGTGGGTGCAGGGCTGGTCCCTGGAGGACCCTCTGCGGCAGGAGATGAGGCGGGATTCATTCCCCACACACTGCAGCTCTCCATCCCAGATGGGACTGACCCCTTCTCCAAAGTGAGCTGGCCCAGCGACAGGCAGGGCCACGCCGCACTGCAACTCCCTGCAGACCACATCAGCAGCTTTGGGACCAAAGTGTGAATCACAGTTTTCCACCGGTCCCCGTCATGGATCTCCACACGTCCTGAGCAGTGTCTCTTCCCTTCCACCAGCCGGACAAATCCTGGAAAAAAAACATAAAAACTGGGAGTTCCCAGAGCCCTCTGGCAGTTAAATGCCCATGTCCTGCATCATCCTCAAGCAAGCCATGACCAAACTGCGCATTGCACATTCCAGAGGAAGTTGTTGGGGGGGTGTTGGTGACACAGGCACATCCAGACCGCCACACACCCCACCTCTACACCATCAGAGCACTTGAGGTTGCGTGTCTGTCACAGACTCACAGCCACAGGTACTGCTCAGACAAACTGCTCCCACACAAGGCTCCCTGTGTTGCCTGGCATGGTCTCCCCAGCACTGCCATAGTGTGAGAGTTTGGATCCAGGAGAACTGGCCCAGATGATAATGACTGCTGCAGCCTGCTCAGCCCCTGCAGAGCTTGGGGCCAGGCAGGACCATCACCCGGATGCAACCAGAAGCACCCTCTGATCCCAGGGCTGTTCCTGGGGTGTTGGAAGGTTCATTTTAGGCAGAAGATGTCACAGAGCACAGAAATGGTGCAGCTGCCATCATGCCTGGTGCCTGTCCAGATCCCTCTGATGTCTGCTCGGGGGCAGGTTGTCCTCAGCCAGGGACACAGTGCTCTGCCTGGAGGTGTCCACAACCCAGATGGATGGCCGGACAGAGGGGCAGGAGACTCCCACTGGGCCCATGCCAGCTCTCAGAGAACAGCAGGCACAGAGGAGGGTCAGTAACTGCTGCCAAAGACCCTGTGTCATGGGGCAGTGTGGGGAACCATGGGCAGGCAGGAGGGCTTGGGCAGTGGGTCAGCACTGCCTGCACAGGGTCATGTCCCCACAGGACTATTCATAGCCCCAGGGACATCTCAGTACCAGCCTGTGCATGTGGTGGTGCAGGAGGAAACAGCCAGAGTCAAGCAGCTGCCAAGCCCCTAACCCTCGCAAATGCTGGTCCACACAGCCGAGCCCTGGGCACAGGCAGGAAAGGGCTTTGTGGCCACCCTGCTCCATTCCCCAGGGCCCAGAACTCATCCTCTCTGAAAAGACCACTTGATTCAGGTGAGGTAACCATGTCTACAAAGGGGAATGACCCAGGAGGATCAGCCATCTCATGCCATTCCTCCAAAGCGTGGAGTGCCGAGCAAGTGCCCCCAGGTGTTTCCAGCACAGGGACCCTCAGCATTGTTGGCTGCAAACTGGCAGAATGGGTGGAGATCGATGAAGCCCAATGGACACCCCAGGGCAGGGATGGAGGATTCATCTGCAGCCCAAGACACTGACTGAGGGTGACTGAGACACTCTGGCAAGGACAGTTCACCCTGGGGTAGGCTCACTCTGGGCCTTCCCGAAGGACTGGGGACATCAGCAATGACAGTCCCAGCCTGGCAGTTAGACCAGCATCGCTGGGCCCTACTCTGGTGTCCACTTGTTGCTCCCTGAGGGCACAGCCAAGGAACCTTCCCCCATCCCAGACCCACAGGTAGGCAGCAGGCTGTCCCCTTACCTGAACAGATCACTCCAGCATCCTCACTGTGGTCACAGTTATGTTTACCCCATCCTCTGTGTTTGCAGTCAGACAGGGCAGACTCGGTGCCTTTACAGTCAACAGCATCCATCCAAATGGGGCCAGATCCTGGCCCAAAGTATCCATACTGAGGAGCTCCAACAGCAGACCCACAGCCCAGCTGCTTACAAACCACCACTGCATCGTTCATGCTCCAGTAGTGACTACACACAGTCCCCCACTTGCCACCGTGTTTCACCTCCACTCTTCCAGCACAGCGCCTGCCGCCATTCACCAGCCTCACCTCTGCAGCCCCTTCAAACACCAACATGGGATGGGTCAGGAGAGTGCCAAACCTCAGCACTGCAGGTCTGGGGGAACCCGTGACCTGGGCTGATTCAGAGGTACTGGGGTAGGAGCCCTCTCCCCTCCAGGCTGTCCCTGGTGCAGTGCAGGGGTCCCTTTTGTCCCTACAGGCTGCGCAAGGTTGTGGGTGCCCATTTCCAGCCCAGCTGGGTCACTCACCATCCCACTGCACAAGGCAGCTCTTCCCATCCCAACGGCCACCTGTCCCCACCCACACACTGCCCAGCGCTTCACTGGGCACCCTCTACTCCCCAGCCTGGCACCCCCTCAACAGCTCCTTGTACCCAGGCCTGCAGCTTCCAGCACCACCCTGCACCTGCCCCAGCACCATCCAAACCCACCCCCACCCCCAGGGCTTTTCACATTCTCAGGTAGCACTGAAATAATGCTGACGATCCCCCAACCCATGTCCCATCCTTACCCCTGGTGTCAGCCCAGTCCCGACACTGGACCAAGCTCCCCAGGAAGGATGTCTCTCTACTGTAGAAGCCCCGGTCCCCTTCTCTCTGTGGGGTCCAAACTGCTCTCATGGGGTCAGGGGTCCCCTGGACCAAGGGGGCAGTGAGCAGCACACAATCCCTCCGAGGTACCCTAGAGCTCCGCAGTGCCCTGGGCATCTCTGGGTGCTGCCATCACCAGCTAGGCCACCACCAGCTCCAGAGGTACAGTGCTGGGGAAGAGGGGATGCCAAAGGGGTACCCCAGGACAGGGTGTCTATGAATCCAGCCAAGCACAGGCTGCCCTGAACACTGGAGCCCTGGAAAAGGAGATATTCTCGCCCACCCAGATGGGCACAGGGTCCATGGACCTGAGCACCTTCTGCCCCTCATCTCAGTAGCACCTGCAAAGAAACGCCGTTCCCAGACAAATCCCAATGACCACACTGGTACCTGCTGGCTGTGGGCTGTGGAACAAAGGAGTTGGCACTTACCCCTGCACAGCTGTACCCAGAGGAGCAGCCACAGCATCTGAGGGGACAGGAGTCCCTCGGTGCCCATCCTGAGCCTCCTGCCCTGCCAGAACATCCCTGCTACGTTAAATTCCCTGCCACGGCTCCTGGGGACTCATGGGGACAATGACGACGGGAGGGCAATATATCTCTGCAGATGCCAGCCCAGCTACAGGAGGAGCCAATCGAAGCAGCAGCACCTTTTTAGACATTATCGGGAGCCATCTCCCCTCCGACACAGCCCAGCCCTCCAATGAACTTCTCCAGCGCCATTCATGACCATATATGAGAGATGGCTCCGCTACAGGTGTCACGTCACTGTGGTGGGGGGCCGTCACAAGACAGGGCCAGTTGTGGGGGGGGAACAGGTTTTTCACCCCCTGAACTGTGCCGTGTGGACTAGGAGCACTGAGCATCTCCTGCACCAGGCACATCCAAGAGCCCCAGGTGCGAGTGTCCAGCCACCCCTGTGCCATGGGAATCACAGGGCTGAGACTGCACCGGGGGCTGTGTCAGGAAGGGAAGGAAACAGCCCCTGCCCCTGCTTCAGACCCCGCTCTGCTGGGAGCAGCAGCTGGGAAAGGGCCTTAGCCCAGGCCAGAGCCCCATCCCAGCAGCGCTGGCTCACCCGTCCCTCCCTGGAGAGCCCTACGGAAGGTCGCTCCCAATGAGCTGGAGCTGGGACATGTCTCTGTCCCGGCAGCAGACATGCAGCCCAGAGGCTCAGACACATCCCTGACTCTCGGCATGTCACCGAGGGGCCGTTATTCCCTGCAGGCGAGTCGGGAGCTGCAGCCTGCAGGTGCACAAACCACAGCCCACGTGGCCTCGCAGCGCTCCCCACGCTCCGGAGGAAGTCTGTGGTTTCCTCCTGGCGCCGTGCCCAGGCACATCCCTGCGGTGCCCCCGAGCCACCCCTACCCCGACTGCTCCAGCCAGGGCTGCAGGGGCTGCTCCTTCGGCCTCGCAGTGACAGGGCCAGGCGGATCCCGTCCCCTCTGATGCCCTTGTGACAGCACACGGCCACCCTGCACCGAGCCCCACAGCCTTGGGGTGCCATGGGTGACGTGAACACTGCCATCCTCCCACAGCCACCGCTGTGTGCTCATGATTTATACTGACAGTGACCTCACACCCCTCCTACTGCCACCACTGCGTGTGCCTGAGTTACAGTGCCACAACTGTGTGCGCGGTGTATGGACTTCTGCTAATGATGGTTCTTCCAAAAAGCCGTGTTTGGTCGTGGTCTGAATATTATTTTGGTGACACCAGAAGCACCTACCCAAGCTACGTGCCAGCTCCTGGCCTATCAGCTCTCCAGGCACCAGTGACATCACAAGTTCATCCATACACAGCCACGTGCATACTCCTAGCCTATCTGCTACTCAGCCACAGGTGACGTCATAGTATCTGCATCTGACATGGGCCTGCTCCTGGCCTATCGGCTATTCAGACACCAATGACCTCAAAACCACTGACATAAACTAGGGGCCTGCTCCTGCCCTATCAGCTACTCAGGCAGCAGTGACAACAGCAGCACCTACACGTGCCATTGGCTTACTCCAGGCCTATGAGCTACTCAGGCATGAGTGACCTCATAAGCACAGACACAAGCCATGGGCCAGCTCCTGCTCTATCAGCTACTCAGGCACCAGTGACCTCACACGTACGTGTACACCCATTTGCCAGGTACTTGCTGGTGCAGTACTCTGTCTCTGGTGACCTTACAAGAACCTATAAGGGCCATGCACTTGGTCCTGGCCTATCAGCTCTTCAGCCCAGAGTCACAACACAAGTACATACCCAAGCCACATGTCTCCCTCTTGCCTATCAGCTACTCAGGCACCAGTGAGCTGGCCACCAAATATCCACCTACTTGCTATCTGCTTGCCTGTGAGATGCAAAGGCACAAGTGACCTCACAAGCTCTGACATAAGCCATGCCGCTACTCTTGGCCTATCAGCTACGCAGGTATCAGTAATCTCACAACCACTTACACAAGCCATGTGCCAGCTCCCAGCCTATGATCTACTCAGGCACCAGAGACCTCACAAGCACATACCAGCCTATTTTCTGTGTGCTTGTCTGGTGGGGTGACCCCATGTGGCAGCCCCCACCCAGTCCCTTGCTCACTCCCCACAGGTGGGATGGCGGAGGAAAAT